GAACAAAATGGCGAATGTGCCTTTGAGGCATCCTGCCATTATGAAGAAAATGGACAGCTTTCATCTATACTGCCTCCCTGAAGGGCTCAGCTTTAAGAGCTGTACTCTACGTGTCTCCCGTATGGCTCAGTCTGCAGCAGGTACAGGACAAAGTGAAAAAGACACTCTATGCGCTGCATCTCAGCAGGAGACACAAGGGAATATTTTGTGTGCAAATTTGGCAGGGTTATATGGCAGTCATGTCCTCGTTTTTAAAGAATCAAAGGCCTGCTGTGAAAATCTCAGTGTGGGGACCATCAAAGGCCTTTTATTATGGAAGTAATGTTTCCATCCAGACTGATTAACTTATTTTTTGAAAAGACACTCTTGCGGGGCTTCTATGACCAACTTGACAGCGAGTGCCAAGAAAATTAAAAGATGTTCAAAGTAAACACATTATAGGCCAGTCCGAGAAGCTGATGGCCTAATATTTGAAGTCGCTCAACACTTTAAGGAGACTTCATTATGACATTTTTACGATGTCGCATTTTGCTACACAGTCGGCTGAGCACCAGCATACGCACACACACACACACACACCCTTGAGTCACTATTAGTATTTTAAAGCATCTTTAACATCACTTGTTATTCTGCTTCAGTACACACTGGACTGTTGTCACATGGACTGAATTCTTAATCCTCAGAACACATGAAAGAAAGCAGAGGCAAAGTGCAATCACTGCAGTAAATTCTGGGGAACATTAAAGGTGCCCTTTAAGATGAAAGAGCACTTTACATGCAGAGAAAAATTAATATTCAAAACCTCTATTTTTGGGATACAGCAGTGGTTTAAAGAGTTTTATATCAGAGGGTCTTCATCAGGGTGGATATAATAAAAACAGATTGATTGAGGTGTTTGGCTCACTTTCCACAAGAGACTTATGCTGCCTTCACATGGAACTTGTGAACTTGTAGTTATGACATGGAAAGCCATGTACAATATGCTTGGCATTTAAGTGGTTGAGTCGTAAGAGCACTGCTGCTAAGCAGCAACATGGATGCTACGGTCAGTATGTAGAAGCTACCAAGGCTAACAATTTAGCAAGCTTGTGAGTGGATACAGTGATACAGGAAATCAGAGGCTGTTGGGAATATGAACATTTTCCTCAGATATTATTATGAAGAAAAACTGCATATGTATAAAATTACAATACATTAACTTAGCATCCACCAAAAAATTCACATTCTTACCTTGCGCCATTTCTGGAAACATCAGCAAACACACTGCAACTCATGAACTCAGAGCTTCCAGAAAAGTTCCACCAACGAGGCCTTGAATATCAGAGGGAGGCGCAAACATCGACTCCCGAAGACTGTAAAAACGACCCCATTTGAATGCAGCATTACTCCTATTTTTCCTGAAGATGAATTCATGTTTGGAGCACACTTAAAATCAGTCAAGTGTTACTACAGCAATTAAGATTTGCACTTTTATTAAAGTTGGCAAAAGTTGTGTTAAAACAAAAATGTTTTGTGCAGCAGAGGGTAAGTTCTCCTGACTTTTAGTCCCTAGGTTTTGGGTCAAACCTCAAAATCTGTGTCCTTTATTTCCCCTGATGCAAACTGATAGTAGTGACCTTTGTTGGACTCTTTCTGACAGACAGATACCTACATCAACTTCTGCCCCAAGATTGTAGTTATGTTTAAAAAAAAAAAAGTCAGTTCTATGAGGATTTTTTTTTAGGAATCATCAATTTATTTATTTAAAACAGGGACAATGCACAATTTAACAATCTTGTAGGACAAGAGAAAATGTCTTGAGCCAGGTTATAGCAGCATTTGCTAATTTCCACCTGTAGTCCCTGTACACCTGTACTCCCTCTATAGCCAAGATAACCTCATAACATCATCAGGATTGTTTGTTTAGATTCCTCCAGAGCCAAGATGGGTGCCTCTGTAAAAATAAAAGCAAAATAAAATATGTATTTAAAATGTCTTCTTTTCCTAGTTTCACTTTTGAACTTGTCCCCTATAAAATCACCTGCATTCCTGTGTGATGAAAGTGGGCTGGACAGGACTTTCGGTATAAAGGAAGCGGGTTTTATTGGCATGCTTTGAATGCTTTGTGTTTTTGATCAAGGACATCACAGATCAGGCAAACGTCAATAACAATAGCAAGGTATTGTGTGCACTGATGCTCCTCATACAGTGCTATTTTTAGCTCCGCCTGCCTTTGTGGCCAGATGGTCAGTCAGGTAGCTCGAACAAAAGTTCATCAGGCCACATAACAAAGTAATGATCCTGATCCCCTCTCAAACAAATGTGATTCATTTGAGGGTGTTTCTTCAGGACCAGCTCAACCCCAAAAACCTAAAGGTTTTGTTTCTATGCCTCTGCGTTGGCACACACTCTCACACTCCTGTGAACGAGATATCTCAAGAATGTTTTGGGGGATTTTTTTCAAATTTGCAATTAACTGATAAGACATTGGTGGTCAAAAGTTAAGGTCACAAACAGGGTGACATACAGCAAAAAGCTGCTACTCAGAATTGAACCTACATCCACTGTGAAGGACTCGGCGTATATGGGGTGCATACTCAACCAGGTGAGCTAGAGGTTGGCCCCATACCATAATCATGACAAACTTTCCCACAAATGTCTAATAAGATAAAATTATGAAATAATTACATTTTATGTAGGGCTACTGGCCTTGTTGCAGGAGACTGGGGTTCAAATCTGGTCAGGTTGATAGTTTGATCCTTATCCAGGACAGGTGAATTTTAAAGTCCAACTCTGAAATGAAAAGGTTAAATGCGCCTGGAGAAAAGTTGTGTGTATAGCAGCAGCTTAACTCAGTGGTTAAGGCTACTGGCCTTGGTTCAGGCGACTGGAGTTCAAATCTGGTCAGGTTGATGGTTTGATCCTTATCCAGGACAGGTGAATTTTAAAGTCCAACTCCGAAATGAAAAGGTTAAATGCGCCTGGAGAAAAGTTGTGTTATAGCAGCAGCTTAGCTCAGTGGTTAAGGCTACTGGCCTTGGTGTGGAAGACTGTGGTTCAAATCTGGTCAGGTTGATGGTTTAATCCTTATCCAGGGCAGGTGAAATTTAAAGTCCAACGCCCAAATGAAAACGTTAAATGCGCCCGGAGAAAAGATGATATGTGTAGCAGCAGGATAGCTCAGTGGGTAAGACTACTGGCCTTAGTGCAGGAGACTGGGGTTCACATCCAATGCTACCATATGCACGTCATGTCACGGCAAGGGGGAGCCAGGACGCCAGGAGAAAGTGGGGATGTCATCATCATCCCCACATTAATTAACATTATTTGGGTAATAGGAAAGGTAGGGTAGGCAGTAAGGTAGCTAGACTGGGTAGTAGGAAAGGTAGGCAGGAAGGGGTAAAAGGAAAAGTTGCTAGGGAAAATGTAATAGGGAAAGTGGCTAGGGTAATAGGAAAGGTAGGGTAGCTAGGAAGCTGGGACTGAGTAGGAGGAAGGAAGGTAGCTTGCACTGGGTAGTAGGAAGGTAACTAGGAAGCTGGCACTGAATACTAGGAAGGAAGGTAGCTAGGACTGGGTAATAGGGTAGGCATGAAGGTGGCTAGGAAGGGAAGGTAGCTGGGAATGGGAAAAGTAAGGTTGTAGGGAAGCTAGGTGAAGGCATTTTCAAAAATGACATTTTTGAAAACGTTTTTACCATCCTAGTCTATTACTTTTTCTAGCTACCTTCCTTTCCTATTCCTACTCCTACTGGGTAGTAGAAAATGTAGGGAAGGTGAAAGCATTTTCAAAAACTCCTGGCTACCTTCCTTTGACTGTTTTTCTGATCTACTTTTCTTCCTGCCTTTCCTATTACTTTATTCCTAGCTACCTTCCCTATTACCCAGTCCTAGCTACCTTTCCTATTCCCCAGTTCTACCCCTCTCCTGCATACCTTTCCTATTACCCAAATAATGTTAATTAATGTGGGGATGATGATGACATCCCCACTTTTCCCTGGCGTCCTGGCTCCCCCTTGCCGTGACACGACGTGCATATGGTAGCATTGGATGTGAACCCCAGTCTCCCGCACTAAGGCCAATGGTCTTACCCACTGAGCTATTCCGCTGCTACACATATCATCTTTTCTCCGGGTGCATTTAACCTTTTCATCTGGGCGTTGGACTTTAAATTTCACCTGCCCTGGATAAGAATCAAACCATCAACCTGACCAGATTTGAACACCAGTCTCCCGCACTAATGCCAGTAGCCTTAACCACTGAGTTATGCTGCCTACACATATACCTTTTCTCTGGGCGCATTTAACCTTTTCTTTTGGGTGTTGGACTTTAAAACTCACCTGCCCTGGATAAGGATCAAACCATCAACCTGACCAGATTTGAACCCCAGTGTCCCGCACTAAGGCCAGTAGCCTTAACCACTGAGTAATACTGCCTACACATATGGCTTTTTCTCCGGGTGCATTTAACCTTTTCATTTGGGTGTTGGACTTTAAAATTCACCTGCCTTGGATTAGGATCAAACCATCAACCTTAGAATCTTGACACAGCTCTTTAACAGCCTGAGCTATTCCACCTCACTCTTTCACTGTATTTCACAGGGCCTTTCACTCTATCCTCTGGACAGCAGCCTTTAAAATTCACCTGCTCTTGATAAGGATCGAACCACCAACCTTATGCTTTCCAAGCAGGTCTTTAACAGCCTGAGCTATCCTACTTCACACTGCCACTGTGTTTCACAAAGCCTTTCAGTGAACGTCACTAGTGCATGTCAAAAAAACCTTATAAAATGTCTTAGTACTCAAATGTCTTAGTACTTGGACTCAAGGATGAACTGTTAAGATTTTGGTGGTCATAGGTCAAAGGTCAAAGTTATTCCAATCTTATATCAGTATTTTGCAAGAAAAGGATGTATTTTTTTTAACGGTGTGTCTCCCTTTGGACAGAAATGTACCCTCTTTAAAACATGATCACTCTGAATAAAATATTAACAAAATGAATGTATCTCCTTGTGTGTTCCAGGACAAAAAGAAATACCTTGACATCATCCACAGCTACATGGAGGTTCACGGCACAGTGCACGGTACCAGCACTGTGCACCTGCCAAGCTACGTCAAGAACCACGGCATCCTGAGCGGCCGAGACCTCCAGTTCCTCCTCCGAGAAACCAAGGTGAGTCCATCCCGCTGTAAATTGTCTCACATGAAAAAAAAAAAAGACCCTTCAGGGAAATTAAAGTATGAGGATACGGTGCTTATTAGACAGCTATGAAAGCCACAAACCAACTCACGCTTCTTTTAAATGACCAAGAAACTGTGGCCCAGCTAACTTGCAGAATATTGAGGACACACTGTCTTTTCACAAAAAGTCTTTATGTGCAGAGGCTGTGAAACCTGCTCTGAACATTCTTGTAATATAATAAGTGTGTGAGACATACTTTGAAAAGCTTTTCTGAAATGGAGTTATTTCAAAGAAATTTAAAAAATTGGATTGCTCAGATAGAACAGAGAGATTTACAAAAGATAAATAAGACATCAATTTGGCTCATATGCAAAACAACTGCCAAGCGTGACTAAATGCAAAATGTAAGTAATTTGCAGAGTCATTTTTTAGAATATTTGAGTGCTAATGTGTAACTCAAAAGACAAGTTAGAGAGTAAAGATTTAATTCTTGAAAGAGATGGATGATGTTTGGGTGTTAAAGAGTGTGCCGAGTAGCTGCACTTTGTACCGAGTCTGTCCTCGGTTCAGACATCCACAGAAGCACTTCCCCATTCACGTCATGACTTGTCTCTTCGTCTCACTACTCAAACCACTCTTACACACAAAGACAAGGACACAGTCACAGAGACTGCAGCCAGGCTGGATTGTACTGTGTGGAGCGAGCTCTCAACTGAACACACAAATGTTCACAGAATGTGTGTTGAGCTGTTTAAGAACTGAAACTGTGAAGTGGAGAGCATGTTCACCTCCAACTGATTTAAGACTCTCCATCTGCTATAAATCCTTTACTTCGACTTTGAATTGAAATGCATGATATATACAACAAAAACAAAACAATAAATGCCCGAAACAGATCAGTTTTATCTGATGTAGATTAATCTGGGGACATGAAATTGGCAGTTAACAATGATAACAGTGCCAGATTTATCATTCATTTAACCACAACCTTTATTTTTTCCTACTAATGCCAGCAGATTTTTAGAGCTGTGTCTGGCTAGCTAATTAAGCAAACATTAGCTGTGGTTGAAAATGTTGTCTCTGGCTGAGTTTTTAATGTTTCACACTGTCTCATGTTAAATCTAGAACCCTTTTGGAGGGGAATTGATTGCTACATGATATCATGCCAAAAAGCCAAGAAAGAGCCAGATATAAGGCTCAGCTAATGCCGTTTGAGTCAGTGGAGATAATAAGAAAAGCAGGCATGGCTGGTACATGTCAGGATGTCAGGCTTTTTGTACACTGTTATGCAGTTGTGGTTACATGTGATAATTTTGCAGTGAAAATCTGGCAGCCCTAGTTCAACATAACCCTGTTTGGCTGCTGAGTTTTCACTTTAATGTTGGCAGAATCAGTGCGTTTAGGACTAACCAGTGTTTGACTAATGTAAGTCTCTCTTGGGTCCAATTAGTTGGGGTTCTCCTAATCCGATTAAGAGTAAAACAGCTGCTAACTTCAGCTAAAACTCTGATAGTGAGGGAAATGCTTCTTTTAACCTAACCTGTAAGTAATGTCATTAGTTTTTCCTGTGACCTTGGCCTTGGAAGTAACACTGGGTTACTACTGTAGGGAGTGAGTTTTCACTAAATTTATGGAGCCATAGGGGAATAGAATAAAATTACATGGTCCTCCAGAACCTGCCAACAATGCCTGCTGAAGGTGAAAACCATCATTAGTGCTGGCATTGAAAGATGGAGTCTGTCTTTTGGCTCCAGTCGGCATCCTTTTCAGAAGAATAAGGTGGGAGAGAGCTTCGATTTCTCTGGCCTCTGAAACCAGATGCCTTCCCATCGGAGCAGGGAGGGAGGAGGAGGAGAGAGGAGAGAGACATCACACATGAGCTTGGGCAGGGATACAAAGTGCGAAAAAGCCATAGATCATGATTCAGGCAGTTCTAGAAAAAGATGGATTGAGATTTAAACCTCCTTTGTACAGAAACGATTCTGAACAGTGCTTGAGACAAAAATGATTCTCTGCCTGCAGATCCAGCTCTGTACTGAGCACCTAAAACCAAGCAGCCAGGGATGTTGGAGGCACTGACAGAGAGAAGCAAAGATGTGCTCAGCAGTGAAGCAGATCATTAAAGTGTTGAAACCAACTTGCTTAAGACTGGTGCTGCACAAAGAGTGAAATTAGATTTGCTGGATTCATGTAGCCTGGCAGGTTAACTCTCACCAGAGAGGGGATGCAGTATGAACGTCTGTATCCTCTCATTACATGTGGGCCTGCATAGAAACCCCACAAGGAAATGGCCAATTAAATCCGACAACACCCCAACATTTTAGCCACATTGTTGTTTAAGAGCTTCCAAGGAAAACAGGAGGTGTTTTCAACAGGCACAGTTTTCACAACACATTTACTGTTACCTGCAATCAGACTGCCTGAGCTAATTGGCCTCCAGGGGTTTAACTATTGACAGAGTGTATTGTAAAAACACTCCGAATGTAGAGGCGCTTCTGTGAAGAAGAAGAAGAGCGTGTTGCTGTCGGTGTCTGACATTTGATTTTCTCTCAAACAAAATTTCCTGAAATAAACTCTGACGTTCTGTTCTGTAACACGGGAATAGTGTCACTGATCAAACCGCTGAAGTGCAGCAAAGCTGTACGGCGTCATGTTGTACACTGATAGAGTCAAAGGTTTTTGATTTTTCTGACTTTGCTTCTCCTCGTACGTCTGTCTAACACTACCTGGTTAATTGCCTCCTACTGTCTGCTCCTAGTTTGTCTTACATGTGTTTATTTCCTCCCTTTCCCACTCTTCCACACAGCTCTTCCTCTGTCTTACACATCATTATTTTCATCATATTCTGCACAATAGAAAACAAACTGTGGCAGGTGCTGGAATTAGAAATACCAAGAACAAACAGCCTTATTAACTCTCTGGGTCATTAAGCTCAGCGACCGCCATGGTTTAGCCGGCGTGGCATCGGCTGTGCTATGAGATCTTATACTGGAGCACAATAGTGAGCTGGCTCTTTTTGTTTGCATGACAACAGTCCATCTGTTCAGCTCATAAACGTACATTTACAGAGTGAGTGAGTCAAGGGTGGCAGAGGCTCCTCTTGGCGTGTAAACTTCATCAGCGTGTGTGCTCTGCAAACTACTTAAGAGGTCATTGTGGGAGTCTTTATGTTTGTTACCTCGTTAAGTCACTGCCCAGCTCTCTAACTTAACAAAATTCTGTCAATATGATCTGAGATATTGGATACCGGGACTTTCGGGGTGACAGTGACGTTCATGTAATATAGTATGCTGTGACACAACTATGCAAACGACTGATGGGGAATGTGCGAAAGCTTCTGTGAGCCTCTACTGTCTGTGAGAATTGAAAAACTGCTGCTGTATAATGATAGGCAAATGTTTTATGTAAGTACTGTAACATGAAAACACTGTTGAACACTGTCTTCTGTTTCCCAGTGTTTTCATGCAAATTGAAAATGTCTGCAGAGGTCTTATTCAAGTTAAATGAGAGCTACTCCTGCATGTGACGCCTGTAAAATGGAAGCTTCGTTACTGTATGTGTGTCGTATGCAGACGTGCTTGAATTACTCACACATTTAGATAAGAGGAAGTTATTGCACTTGCATGTGGCATTGGCTTTATATCAGGATATAAATATGTCCACTGAGGCAGAATGTTTGAACGGGGGAGGACAAATCAATAGAACGTCAGCTGTGTTGTGGAGCTCTGGATATTAAAGGCAGAACGTTCTGCGTGTATGGCGCTATGACAGAAAACAGCTTTAATGCAGACTAACAATGAGCTTTTTCTTAAAGTCACAATTCTTATTGATTCCTCTTTTTAAATCTCTGACAATCACATTAAGGAGACGCAGGCATCTTTCTTAATTTCTGCTACATCACTGCTTCTCCTCTCTGTGTGTCCCCCTCCTCATCCCCTCCCCTCATCACTCACTATAAATAGTGGGCGACTGTTTCTCAGCATCGAGGAGCTCTTGCATGCACACACAACGTACGCACACGTAGAGGAAAAATAAGCGTGCTCTGCTGCCACCTGTTGGCAGTGCTGTCTATCAGACTGTGTTCTGTTTCTACGGGCACACACACACCGGCCAGTACAAACACACACATACAGACGAGCCATTGTAGCCATCAAGCTCTGGCCCTCCAGTAAATGAGCCACTAGCTCACTGCCTCCACCTCCACCTCCACTACTTCTACCTCCACCTCTCCCTCCTCTCCCTGTCTCTGGATCTGTCTCACACCCCTGTGGACAAGCTGCTTCTGGTTGCTGCATGCTACAAATATTTGCTCTTCCAATCCAGGAGGAGCAAACTTGTCATTAAAGCCCCTCCTGTTCTTTATAGATATATACACACAGTGTTTGCTCTAAAGTGCGTGACTGTGGGAAAGGAAAATATTTGCCAACTTTGCAACACAGAGATTGTCTTTTAAATGTCTTTTGAAGTGGTTTTAATGGTTCACATTTATATAAGCCTGCCTCAAGTTTTCTTGCTGAATCTATTCTTCCTGTTTGTCCTGGTATTTTATATCTCTTCCAAACATGCTTCCAGTGAAAATGACCAAATCTCAATAGGATTATAACGTGAGCTAATTTGAGGCTTCAGCATTCTGAGTTTATCAAATCCAGAGAGTATCCTGCACAGTTACAGTCCTTTTTAGTGCAACATTCCCTCTCTGTGCTTCCCAAGACAGTTTCTGTGCTGAGCTGTGGAGGAGGGAGAGACACACAAAGATGAGACGAAAGAAACTGTAGAATACAGTTTAGCACAGGAAGAGATGTGGATTTTGTCTCTTCCATTGGGAACATGTAAGGAAGTGAGCCAGTTTAGTGGCCAGTGTGTACAGGAGGATGATTACAGCAAGCAAAAACTGCTTCAGTGTTCATATGGGTACCTGACTGTTGTGTTAAGACATTAAGCATTAAATATCAATTCAGGCCACAGGTGGCAACTAATATAACAGTAACTTTTTCTTATGTTTGCTTAAACTGTAGTAGTACATGAGACAGATAATTGGCTGGAGCCTATCCCAGTGGACATTAGATGAGAGGTGGGGTACACCCTGGACAGGACAGCAGACTATCACAGGGCTGACACATAGAGACAGACAATCATTCATGCTCACATTTAAACCTACAGGCACTTTAGAGTCCCTAGTTAACCCAACCTGTTTGTCTTGAATGTAGGACCTCACAGAAGGGCCCCAGCTGGCCAGCAGGTTCGAACCCAGAGCCCTCCTGCTGTGAGGGATACAAAAAGGCACTGCATGTCTGTTTCACTTTAACTGGTCACAAGGCACAAAGATTGTGAACCACTGATGTTAGTGGAAGAAACATTTGTGCACAGGATGGCAGCAGGTCGTTAGTAAGTCTTAAATTCACATTTACTAATTGAAGGCCTTTAATTCAGTTTGGATGGGTCTTAAATGTTTTTGTAGTCACGTCACCGTGAGAAGTCTGGTAGGGAACAGACTTCGACACCTGTATGCGCACTGTGCCTCTGTCTTTGCCCCCTTTATACATTTAGATCACGCAATGAGTCTGCATCATTAAACTGAGGCCTTGATAGCCATCCTGCTTGTTAGTTTATTTCTGTGTAAGCACATATAGTAGACTGTCATCAGCATCAATCTTTTATTTGTGTACTTAAAGAGTATATTTTTTCTTTTGGTGAGTAAAGTTTGGTCTTAAATTCCATTTAAGGTGGTTTTTAAAAAACAAAAAAAGTCTTTAATTTAATACCTGTGGACACCCTGGTGTAACAGTTAGTGATATATCTCAGGTGGTGTATTAATATTGGTTTAAATTAGTCATTTATGATCTTAATCTTTTGCAAGTTTCCCACATTCTCATTGGACTACTTGACTACAGTGTGTTTCCATCCGTAAAATCTCCTCGGTACTCCCTCCTCACCAAACATCTAGTGGCGTTTGGGAGGAATAAACATTAGTGCGGCGTCTTCATATTATTGGCCTTGTTTTTCCTCCCTTGTTTTATAGAGAAAATGTGCTGCCTCCACTGTATTTTGTGCTGATAACATGGGAGGTTTGCTTCAACAAGGGCTAACTGCTGCTATCAGCAAACAACAGAAACTCCTCAACACAGCCAGTGAACTTTTCTCCCCCTGTACCCCTACAGGCTTCTTTGTTATTCTGGTTATTGCAGTAGCTCCCACATGCTGCCTCCTTCCTGCCCTCAGTGTTCAATATGTGCTAGATTTTTTGGTGCATATGGAGGCTTATAGTTTCTCAATATTTTCTCTCCCCCGCAGCTGTTTGTGGGTCTGTCCTTCCCCTATGAGGGTCCCGCCCCTCTGGAGGCCATCGCCAACGGCTGCGCTTTCCTCAACCCCAAATTCAACCCTCCGAAGAGCAGCAAGAACACCGATTTCTTCAAGGGCAAACCCACTCTGAGAGAGGTGAGAGGAGGAGGAGGAGATCTGTGGGGACGCACACTGAGTTTTTACCCTGCAGACTCTTGTGCTCAAGATATGACTATAAAAAAGATGTTTGTTTTTACGACCTCTGCAGCTGACCTCTCAACATCCATATGCTGAGGTGTACATTGGTGAGCCCCATGTGTGGACGGTGGATATCGAGAACTCTGCAGAGGTGGAGAGGGCCATCCGCTCCATCCTCAGCCAGAAGGTAAGCACGGAAAAAACGTTTTGATAATTTCTGGCACGACACAAAACAACAACAATGCAAAGACGTGCTGCAACTCCTGTTTTTTTATCGCTATCAATTAATCTAATGATTATTGTCTTGCTCAAGTGATGCCTCGTTTAGTCTTTAACATATCAAATTATTCAAAAATGCCCATCACAGTTTGTCAAAGCATGCGCTGACATATTCAGAATCCTTGTTTGGTCCGTTCAAACCATCCAGAGACAGAGGATGAGTGAAAGCGCGGGGAAGAGAGATCCAGTTTCGTCTTCACGTCCAGGCCCATGCATATTTAAAGCCCGGGCTCAGGACCTCGTGTTGTGCTGTGCTCCGCAGAGCGAGTCGGAACAATGGCTTTGTTCACTGGACAAGCCTGCGGAGCCTCATATGCTTTGTGATCCGTGGCGAGCTGCAGCCTACCAGGCTCCGGCTTAGCTCACGCCCCCCCACCCCTTCCTCCTCATCTTCCTCCCCGCACACAAAGACATGGAGAAAGCAGCGAGTGACTTGATGCCACAACAAAGGCCTCAGTTGTTGAAGTTTTCTTCTGTAAATCAGAGTCTGTGGAGGACTGAAGACGGTGGTACAAACCACCACGCTGAGCTCACACACACATGCAGTGAAACAAGCTGATGCCTGGCCCTGTAGGTTTATGGTGTGTGACGTCACCACCGGAGTATCTTCCCCTGACACTGTGTGTTCTGTGTTTGTGTGATCAGATTGAGCCCTACCTGCCCTATGAGTTCACCTGTGAGGGGATGCTGCAGAGAGTCAATGCCTTCATTGAGAACCAGGTACTGCCTGTACATCCATCAGCTCTTTATTAACATAGTGAGACTTTGATTTTCTCATGTGTTCATGCTCAGGATAAAGTCAAATCAGAATCTTAGTTCACTGAGACTTGATTATAGCTGGATGAAAATCCAAATCTCCTCTGAAAGACTACAAGGGCAAACAATGACTTAAATCTCTGCTGACAACCAGCATCAACAGCTCTGCAGCACTGCTCTGCTGGCATCATCGTCACTGCTGAGCAGTTGAAAATATGAGGGGTGGGTGGGGGGGCCAGAAAGATGTGAAAGCCAAAAAACTCAGCTGCTGTTGAGTCACTTTCATAGCTTAGTAAACCTGTCAACACAATGGAGATGTGTAATAAAAATATTCTGTGGTGGGACTGTAAAAGAAAAAGCATGTCATGTTTCTCCTCAGCACACACAGAAATAAAACCTCAGTTTGATTTTTTGGGACAGTCTGACAAAGAGAGAGTTACATATCAACATTTTTAAATATGTACGATAGATATAACTAATATACCACAAACACGACAAAAAAATACAAGATCAGTACGATCAAAGCTTGACTGTGGTGCAGTGGTTGGTTGCTGCTGTACTCTAATTGTATGACCCATGTTGTGTTGTCAGGACTTCTGCCACGGTCAGGTGATGTGGCCTCCTCTCAGCGCCCTGCAGGTCAAACTGGCTGATCCAGGCCGCTCCTGTAAGCAGGTCTGTCAGGAGGAGCAGCTCATCTGCGAGCCGTCCTTCTTCCAGCACCTCAACAAGGACAAAGACCTGGCCAGGTGGGACACACACACAGACACACTGATCAGCCATGACATTAGAAACACTGACAGGTGACGTCAGTGACAGTGATGGTCTTGTTTCAGTTCAGTGTTCTGCTGGGAAACCTTGGGCCCTGGCATTCATGTGGATGCTACTTGACACGCACCACTGCACCACCCACGTGAAACTGTCACAGATCAAGTACACCATCACATGGCAGGACAATGCACCATGTCGCACTGCAAACATTGCTCAGGAATGACATTAGGAAGTTGACAGACAGCTTAAAAGGCATCAACCTTTCCTCCGCATTCCCCAGATCTTTATCTGATGGAGCATCACTCAAACACCACCACAGGGCTCTGTGTCCACGCCTCGACAGGTCAAAGGAGGAGGCCCCACTGTGGATCAGACCTGGCTCTGACCTTTCGAGGCATGGACACAGGACCTCTGTGGTGATGTTTAAGTCCTGTGGTCACATGATTGCACAATCAGATTAGGATCTGGGAAACATGGAGGCCAGGTTGACACCTTGAGCTCTTTGTCACGTTCCTCAAGATGTTCCTGAACAGGCTTTGCAGCTTTTCTTTGCTCATTGTCCTGCTGTCACTGCCATTAAAGAATGCTGTTACCATGAGGAGGGGTGCTTGATTTGTTCTGGTGGGAGGTGCGTATGAAGTGGAATTCACATGAATGCCAGGACCCAAAGTTTCCTAGCAGAACATTGCACTGTAGTGTAGTAAATTATGAATCATTAATAACTTCACCTGTCAGTGGTTTTAATGTTGTGGCTGATGACAGTTCTAGTTGTTATTTCTAAAAGTGGCCATTAGGTGGCAGCATACTGCAGATTTGAATTCATAAGTACAGTTTGTCATCCAAAGAGGAGACTTTAATAAACTGCAGTGCTCTGTTAAAGCCACTAGGGGGCCCCGCTTGTTCAGTGTGATAAAGGGGTCAGGGCTCATGACTGATGCTGAAGAACATCACTTTAGTTGACTGTGTGTGTTCAGCTTCTCCCTCTCTGACTCTGCTCACTCTGATTCACACATAAATAAACAGTCATTAGGCAGAGGGACTGAAGGAAATGTCTGCGTGTGTCTCAGGTTTGGCGTGGACTGTCAGACGGTGGAGTCCAGCGCCGACACAGTGGTCCCGGCCTACAGCGAAACTCGCCGCCACTGCATCTTCCAGTCTGACCTGCTGCTGTTCAGCTGCGCCGGCGCCCACCAGTCATTGCGACGCATCTGCCCCTGCCGTGACTACATGAAGGGCCAGGTGGCGTTGTGCAAAGACTGTCTATAGCACCAACACACAGGCTGATTGGGGGGGGGGGCCTGACAGAGGCTCTGGGGGGTTAAATGAAGTTGGAGCAGCTTAACATGTGTGTGAGTGTGTTTGAGAGACATGCAACTGTCGAACACACACAACAGACTTTTTCATTCATGGGACAGCGTATGTTCATCATATTTATTGTTTCCTCCAGCTGCTGGAAGTGAAGCAGCCAATCGGAACATCCGTCAACCCTCTGATTCACCGGTGGTGGCGCCGCGACTCCTGGAAGCCGTGTAAAATTACTTGAATCAACAAAGGGAGTCGTCTTAGACTTACACACTGCAGCAGATGAGCTCTCTGCTGCGTCCTTGGAAGACTGCACATATCAGTGACTGCCTGTTTGTCTTCAGGTTCATCAGGGCAGCGAGGGACCAAGGAGACTCAGCCGCCCCTTCCTGACAGCCGCCCCGCCCCCTCCATCCACCTCCCCTTGGTTTAAATCTTAAACTGTTTATCCTTTAGGTAGGTTTGCACTGGACTGGCATGCCTGAAGGCCCACATACATACACACACACACAAACACACACACACACACACACACACACACACGGGGCCAAAATGGCGGCTAAAGAAGAACCCAGTTTTACACTGTAACCAACTCGTTCCTCTCCTCCGGACAGAGGTGATGAGAGTGGACATGTAACGTAGATATCTAGATTTTTATTCTGGAGGATTTAGCATTTCCTGACACACACCCCAGACTTAAAGCGATCCTCATTCCCCCGTTGAAAGACAGGAAAGTCCAAGTTTCATACGTTCACTTTTAAATTGCACACTTGTTTTAAACAACTGATGATTTATTTAACAGAGAGTTGAGTGTGTGTGTTTCTACAAGAGGCCAGTAGAGGAGTGTTTTTGTTTGACTGTTTCAGCACACCATCCGGTACTACGCACACACCAAGAGGTGAGGATCAGGGAGGGGGCGAGGGTCGTTCTCTGTAGCTGAAGCTGCTGCGTACAGGGTCGCCGTGTCGTAGGATTTTGTGACGTTGTGTTGTAGATGATAGAGCGTCGTCAGTAGCAGTGGTAACAACTAGATGCACTGCAGCCCAGGCGGGGAAGCCTTAACGCGTTTTCCAAAGACGCCACAGCCTGCAGAGAAACATGCTTGTCCGTGTCTTTATGTACACAGAAATACAAAAAAGCAGCCATGCTCATTTCCCATCGACGAGACACAAGCTGGAAATCTTTTAAAGCAACCTATAAGTAACAAAGACATGCCAACGACGTGTTCCTGCAACGCAAAACCTAGCAACTCCATTTCCTTTCCATAATTGTTAGGATAATAATTTGCCTGCAGATTTGCAAAGAAAAAAATTCAGATAAAATTCGTAGTTCTTGTGTTGAATGGAACAAATGCACTACGGTAATCTATTCGCAGAGGTTTAACAAGATATTAGTAACACTGTATATTGTTCATATGGGTTTTAAAGTTTCTTTTTTATTTATTTTGTATACAGATCTTTATCTCTGTTTGCTGGAAGTCTTTGTTTTTTTATTTATAGGAGGGTGTCTTTTTTTCCTTTTATAGATTTTTATTTATGGAGAGTAATTTAAAAAAAACAAACAAAAAAAGCTTGCCTGTCTTCAAGTGTATGACTGAGAGTGGGAGGCTTTGTCCGCTTCTGTTCAGCTCTCAGCAGTGATGTGGAGACAAGTTATATTTAGGGCCCAGACTCTGAGCCCAGATGAATTGCTTTGCATTTTAAAAGATGATGTTTAGCAATTAGAAGAATGCAATTTGATATTTTATTCCTTAAAAAGCTGAAGAATTGCATGAGGATTGGTTTTAAAGTAAAATCATTTGTCTTAAATTATTTTAGTCAGGTTTTAACTGCAGAAGTCTTTTCATCATCACTGTTAAATAATACTGCACCCACAAAATCATCATTTGTATAGGAGTGATTTGTTTTCCTCACATGCTTCCACAGTAAACAGAATCCAAAAAAGGCGAACAGTCTTCATGAATTGAAGAGAGACTGCGTTTAACAGCAAAACTACATCCAATCATCTGATTACAGACTTTCACACAACACATGTAATATCCCATCGTGTGCTCAGGGCTTCCCAAACACATGCATGTTTAATAACATTTCACATGCAACATTACAAAACACTGCCACCTAGCAGTAGCGTGCCCTGAGTACATGTGGACCCAGGCTGGATAAGGTAAGGTACAACTTTAATGTCCCTGTGGGGCAATTTGATTTGATGAGACTGTTTGCACTGACCTGTTTTAAATTATAATGTTTTAGTGACAGCATGTGTCAGGGAGGCACTGAGCGTACGACTGGAGTCCTGATTTCTTAAAGTTTCTTTTTTACCTGGCTCTATGTGAAGAAGTCATCACCCCCTTGTTAAATCACAAATTAACTGTGATTAACCACATTTTTTGGAAAGCTGAGTTCAATTTCACGAGACACACTCAGGCCTGATTACTAGGTGTGTATCCCGTTACATCCAGCGTAAAACTAACACAGCATTATGTAAAAAGAACATCATACCAACAGTCAAACATGGTGGCGGTTGTGTGATGGTCTGGGGCTGCTTTGCTGCTTCAGGACCTGGACCACTCGCTGTAATTGATGGTACCATGAATTCTGCTCTCTACCAGAAAATCCTGAAGGAGAATGACCTCAAGCTCAAGCCAATTGGGTTATGCAGCAGACCTGAAATGACCCGAAACAGACCAGCAGGTCCACCTCTGAATGGCTGAGTGGCCTAGTCTAAGTCCGGACTTAAATCTGATGTAAAAGACTCATCGCCAGTTAGTGCAAACAATTGATTGCAGTTGTTGTCGCCAAGGGTGGTGCAACCAGTTATTAGGTTTCAGGGGCAAATACTTTTTCACACAGGGCCATGTAGGTTTGGATAGCTTTTTCCCTTAATAAATGAAATTATCATCATTAAGTATGACAAATAAGCAAAAAATTAAGAAATCAGGAAGGGGGTAAATACGTTTTCACAGCACTGTATGTGTTGATACAGTCTTACTGTTGTTAAACGCAGTCGTTCATGAAGCACATTCGCTTTTTCTGGATTTTCTGTTCGTCATGGAGGCATGAGTTCAAGAAAACTCCCAGTGAGTAAGTGATTTACACATGATCACTCTGCAGGTGAAGTACTCATAAAGATGGACAGCAGTGGACAAAACGCCTCATGTTATTGTGAACGCCAGCAGGAGCCTCATACACTTTGTGCTTTGATTTCCAATCTCAGTTTTTCTGTTTGCACATGTGTAAATTCAGACTGAATGACAACTGTACTTTGTCGCTGTGTCTGCTCAGACTGTTTTTATGTTTTCTTTTTGTTTTTTTTTACTTTTGTAAACAGGTCAGTGATCTGCTGCCAAGTTAGTGTTTTAAAGAACATGATGTGCCTTTTCATGGTTAACTTTGGTTCTGCTTCTGTTTCGTTATCAGTGAGCTGTTTGGGCCTGACAGTTGGCCATGGCGTGTCAGGTCAGCGTCACTTGAACCTAAAAAAAGAAAAAGAAAAAGCTCACACCCTCGTGATCGAGCCTTCAGTCCCAAATTTAACTCCACAGGTCCACAGGTCAGCTAAAGGAATCTGTTGTCTGTTTACTGAATCAGTTTTATGAAATCATTTTATTTATTCTGATCTATCTCCTATTTAATACAATTATAATCAGTCCAAACCTTGTGATCTGTTAAACTGGGTCAAGTTGCTCTGGTTTGGAGAAGTGTGGTGACAGGATGAGAAAGGATAACACCAGTGTTCATTCAGCTAACTGGATTATACAGGATAGGATTTTTCTATCTTTGAAACTTAAGTTAAGACAGGACAAGCAGTTGGATATTTTTCTGTCATGACGCCCCTTGTGAGGAGTCAGATTAATGCAGAACATGTGTGAAGCATCTGATTTACTCACAGCCCTGTGTTGTGTTGCTCCCCTGCATGACACCTCCTGCAGTGTGGGCTCAGACTCTACAAAGGTTGAAGCAGTGACACAGTTAAGAAACAACAGTGGTGTTATCCTTTCATTTTAAAGATATGGCTCATGATATTCTACAGTTTTGTCAGTCTGTGACTCAATACTTCCCCAACAGGAAGGAACGTGTAGAATATCGCCAGACTTATCCGAATCCACAGTGAAACTTGGCTTCAGTTGTTCAAACCTTTGTCGTCGGAGTGAAAGCCTTATTTCCTTTGTGTCAGTCTAAGCATGCTGTCCATCAATTATCAGCTGTTTGATTTCAAGGAAACTAAATAATTTCCTCACCATATCTGTCTGTGTTAACCTCGGCATCAAATGTCTCCACTGTATAAAACAACACATGCTACTTAGTCATCCGAACATGTACCAATCTTTGTGTTTCAATCTCGACCTTGTTTGAATCTGTCCGTCAGCATCTTAGCATCCAGTGACTGAAACAACAGAGTGGTGATGATTGTGGTCCAAGCAGCGGAAGGCGAATAACGCAATGACAACATTTTCTTTTTTTGTTTTCACAGTCCTTTGACGAGTAAGAGGGATATAACTTTATTTTTAAATAAACCTTTTTTCTGTGACAAAAGGCTCCGACTCTGGTTTATATTTGTGTTACATCACAGCAATACAGATTCAGTATTTACACGGGCACAGGAGAGTACAGTTGGTGCGGGCTGAGGAGCAGCTCCAGCCCCACAGTGTGTGTGTATGTGTGTGTGTACAAGTCCAACAAATCAAACAATACTGAGCAGGAGTTGCATCTGAGCCTCACACACACACTTCAGGCACAAATATAACTCCAGAAAATAACACTTATGTATTCAAATAAAAGTCCTCAAATATGATTAAACACAAACCGGCACAGCAGCATGTGTGGGCGCCGTACGAACTGGTCTCAGCACAGTGTGTACATTCAGTTACAGTCACTGCAGCAAACACACACTTGAGGAAAACATACAAACAGCTCAAACTCCACCTGATCATTACATTCATGTCCCACAGTCACCAACACAGCAGTAACATTAAGGCTTTGGAGTAAATACAGGCTGTTGTTAAGTTAGTCAGAAGTTAGTTCATATCGATAACTGCCTCGTTCTAAATGCCTGTGAGCAGTAAACTCCTAATTTTGTGCTTTTACATCAACATCAATGTGTTTGACTGTGATCGCTCCACAAGTCAACATGCTTAGATTAACAGAGAACTACAGCGCTCCCTTTTAAATGCCAAAACAAACAGCAGCTCCAGATAAGAGCGCACGTATATTGACTCCTGACACAGTGTCAAGAAGATGACTGTTGACTTGACTGTTGTCCAAAACCATCACTGCAGTGTGTGTGCGCCCGTTTCACTGATGTGGAGCCAATAACATGATCAGATAACCATAAGGAAACAGAAAAAACTAACATGGCTCACATAGACGTCCTATGACAGTGTAAACCTCAGAGCAGTGTGGTGGATTCACGCCAACGTCTCCCTATCAATAACAAATGGAGCAAGCGGGACAGCGGAGTCCTTCACAGTATGATATTAAAGTATTTACTAATTCACAGCTGGCGGACAGATGCACAGTGAAATGGAGACACGACTAAGAAAAACTTCCTGCACACTGTCAGTTCAGCCCAGACATGTTTCAGTCATGGTCCGTCATCAGGCATCAAGACAAGAGGAAAGGCACCAAACAGTTTCATTTATAACCACTGCATACGCACAAAATAAGGGCTGGAAATGTGCGTACGCCACTTTCTACACATAAGTCTGAACATTCTGGAGACGGTAAATGTGCGTCGGATGGTGAGGTGGTGAACTGAAGTCAGGTTGTGGAAATTAGATGTGAGAGGAATCATATCTATAATCATCTCTCACACATTTAAATTCGCTTCAGATCACGTTTCTTATAGATCTACTTCGTAAACATTCAAATGCAGCAGTGTCACCTTAAATCTCAAATCATACCCTGCTCAATATGTCATTCAGCCAGAAACAGACATCCATCAGGACATCTGATTAGCCATGGTCACCACTCACATGACCAGTTCTTACACTGAATCTCAAACAAACTGGCAACAAAAGCGTTGAAGCGTGTACCACAAAGCAAGTCCGACAGAGTCAGGCTTTGTTTGTGTAAGGTGGCTCGACAAAGACTAAAAACCACAGACATCTATAACAGGTGCCATCAGGGTGGCTATCAACTGTCTTAGTTAAAGCAGGTTTTCTTCCTCAGGCTCTTCGAAGGTGGCATTCAATGCGTCATTTGACTCAACTACCACACAAAAAAGATTGATTGTGTGTCACCTACTGCGACCTTTGAATATTAAAGCAAAAAGCAACACTGTGACTGCATGCACTCTGTTTTACGAGGATTATTTGGCCAAATCAAGGTGAGCTTTTTAGCCGATTTCAGTCCGAAACTCTCAACAACTGGTCTGGACAAGGTTAAGTCTGCAGCATAAGTTGCCATGGTGATCTAGCCAGCTTAAAAGAGAGCCATGTAACATCAAAAACTCTGACTTTAGATTCACCATCCTTTGCTAACCCACTAAACTGGCTTCGTAGTACACCCCTCTGTGTTCAAGCATCCAAACAAAAAAGGAGGAAAAATACTTAATCTCTACATCAAACCAGACTAAATCTCAACACGTGAGGACGAGCCCTCTTTTGTCACAAGCTGACTCACTCAACTAAAATAAACAACAGTATATGGAAATCTGCAACATCAGCGATCAAAGTAAGGTAAATAAATGTGTAACATACGTTCTGTGGAGGCGTTGAAGGGCACAGAAAGAAGACATCAGCTTTGGGAACAGAGACAGAGTGAGCACATGGGCCAGCTCGTTAAGTCTGGGAGGCCCAGGTGACACAGATCAACAGATGACCCTCCACTGTCTCTGTGATTAGTCACCAAACACTGCGGGTAACACTACACAAATCCTGGTTCTTTTGCATTTCATTATAATATAAAGTTGTTTGTTATTGTGACTCTGATGCCTGATGAAGGGCGCTGGCAGTGTGCAGGAACTGATATTCATTCAAAACAAAAGCTTTCTTTGACCTCATGTGTCTGTACTTAGCTGTATTAGATACACATTCACATATAGTCACATGTACAGCAGGCAGGTACCTCTTCTGGTCAGTAGATGGCGCACGGTGTCAATGTACAAATGATATTCTCAGGTTTGTCACTTGAACTTCAAACACAAAAAAAAGCCACTGAGCTCCTTTCTGTCATTTTCCTTGTGTAACATTTCCAGTCAGGTCATGACTCTCTGTAACTGGGTGCCAGAAACACTGATTTCTATCCTGTGCTGTGAGCTGGCGCTGGCATGATGCTGCTGAAACACTGCCCACTGGAGGCTCCTGCTCCCGCCACAACAGTCTAGATAAATACTGTAAACAGCAAATCACATGGTGCTGAGCCTCTGTGCTTGTGTACCTGCTCTGTAAGCCAAATGGGCCTTGTATTGATATATCCTCTGTGGTCATAAAAAAAGTAAAACACCATAAATCCTGCGCTGCTACATCAGCTACATCAATCAGCTTCACCTGCCACTCTGCGACATTTTATAGCACAGCTGAGCAAAGGCCTCTAGGAACCATGGGAAAATAAACTGCTGTGTTTTGACAGGGCGATGAGGTGTAACCGAGGTACTGTACATCAACTGGCTGTACAAAAATCTGTTGCTTCTGAAGAGTTATAGACTCTCGAGGTCCAAGTGCCTCCTGTACGAGCTCGTCTCTCTCTTCTACAACTGTGTCAACAACTTTTTCACCTTAGTTAAACTCCCTTTGCCTTCATAACGCTCTTGTTTGAATATGGAGGCATGAAGGAACAGACTCTTTTAAAAGACAGATAAATATATTATATGTACACCAAATTGTAAAACACTTAAAAGGCGGCAAGAATGTCATCATCGGTCCGGATCCTCAGTTCAAATCTTTGAATGGGAGGACAGTACAGACACCACTGGCACCTCGAGGACTGAATGTGATAGTCTGTGGAGAGACTGTTCCTCTCCTGTCAGTCAGTCAGTCAGTCAGCCCCCTTCCATCCCTCCTCTGCTCCCTCTCTCTGTTCCTCCGCGTTCTGTTACTCAAAGCGCTCATAGTTCCTGGTTTGTCGGATCCGTTGCACCATGTCGAGCAGCAGCCTGCAGCAGAGGAGGAGAAGAAGAAAAACTGAGCTGATGCAAACACTTTGATCCCCCTAATAAAACATCCAATTCCGACTTAGTGAGACGCTGCACAGACATAAGTTAATTTTAGGTTTTCGGTGTAGCTCAGGGCAGAAAATCTCACTGCATCTGCTGTAAAGAAAAATGTTCATGAGAGCGCACATTTGAAGAGTAATGTGCTTGATTTTTAGAGACATCATGGGGTGGGCCCTGTATCGAATATACTAGATTTATTGCGGCTTGTTCCACGTGGGATGTATAAAATGACTATATTGCAAACATCGACTATAAGTTGTCGAGTCATGTTTTTGAGCCACCAGCATGAGATTTACTTCAGCATTTTGGTTCTCTCACTCTCACAGGATATGTCAAACAAACTCCCTTCTCAGTGATAGCGTGAGCAGACGTATTTTGCGACCATGGAGTACCAGTGCGATTTGCAAATATTATCAATATATGAATTAGAGGGCTGTTAGTTTGTGTCCAGCTTACAGTGAATAAATCCTCACGTTTCATGGCGCTGAGGTAACAGTTTAATTTTAAACAAGTTTTATATAGTGTGAGCAGACTAGCATGTGTTATTGTATCTGCAGGGCTCCTGACCGCGTCTAATTAGTCACATGAAGCACTTGTGTAACTTGCAAATATTAGAGCCAGGTGCTTTGGAAAAAATGCACCAGTGGTTCTGCTTAGACATATTTCATTATAACAGTACTTAATTAAACCAGTAACCAGTAATTTATTTAACTCTATTAGAACAGTGCTTTATTTTAATTTATTATAACAGCACATTTTAATTTTATTATAACAGTATTGAATTAACTTTATTGTAACACAACTTTAATTTTATTGTAAATGTAGTTTATTTAGTAGTTAAGTTTTTTAGTTGTCTACAGTAGTTTATAGAGGAAATATCATAATATCAAGATATATATCATGTGTTGCGATACAGCCTAAAAATATTGCGATATTATATATGGGCCTTAACGCACAGCCCAATGTCATCATTAATTACAAACAAGGCTGAGTAATTGTTCTTTTTGTGAGTTTATAATTCAAATTCATGGACTAAAATACACAATTCTATCATCACTGTAAATATATTCACAAATACTGTTAAAAAGAAAAAAAATATTCTAAGTTTATGTCCAAATACTGACACATGGAGGCTCCATATTTAATCCTCACACACCAAGTGCTACCACTAGCAAACAGTACATCACTTACTTGACTCCATAGGCGAGGATGATCAGGCCTATGAGGACGCCTATTGTCCCATCCAGGTACCACACCTGGGGCTCATGCTTGAACACTTCAGCGCTGATGAGGATGGAGAAGCCCATGATTCCCCCCACCAGTGAGTTGAATCCTGAAAAGAGAAAACAAAAAGTCTTGTTTTTGTTTTTAAAAAAGTCAGCTGATGAGGGGTTTGTAGGCTCAGTGTTGGAATTCAGCCCTCATGTTGGGGCTTCCCTCAGACATCTGCTAAGAGTCCAGTGGACATGTGATATTGCCTGCTATGTCTCGTGACATGACAGATTCTTGACATGCCTCTAATATGTGTCAGTTACTCAAAGGTCATCTCGTTCAACCAAAGTGCAAATGGCTCTGTTAAGGTGCGTGACAGAGAGTATGTGTTACTCCAAAGTTTGTGTTTGTGCTCCTACCATCAGTGATGAGGGCCCGGCTCGTGAGCACTTTGCCAAGCATGAACTTGATTATGGCCAGGATGATGCACACCAAGCCGCTGATGATGGACACGCTGAACAGGAAGTCATCCTGAGAGAGACAGACAGAAGCACAGAGAGAAAGTTGGAGTCTACTTGATGATCAGGGCAGTGTGGCGGCACTTCATACTGTTGAAAATCATAAAGCTTCTTAAACAAAATCTTCACCAGTAGAAATCTGATGTGAAATCAAAGAGACACTTCCTTGTGTCCTCTCTTAAACCAAACCTACACCCCCTGTATCAGCTATCTCCCAGCTAATTAAGCTGCACTTTCATTGTGGCATATCCTGCCATCTAAAGATTCCCTATGATTGTTGACAAGACCAAAGTGACCTCTACAGACAGCTGCGTCCACAGTCCAACCACAGCTCAATACCCTGAGTAACGTTGATCTATATCCATTTTTAGGGGCAAAATACAGTTATTAACTTCAGATGAAAGCTTCCACTGTGTGTTCTTTTCATATTGCATTGTGCATCGTACAGTGGATGCTCTGAACTCCTTAGATAAAGCGATGCAGTGTTAAGATGCAGCAGACGTTAGAAATAAGAACCGAAGACTTGAAACTTTACTTGGACTCTAGATCAAAAATTTAAGATTTGGACTTGCAAAATAAGACTGTCACCACTACATCTTGACTGAATCACACACCTCCCCTCTAAACCATTCAAATTACACTCCACACCTGCTTTCCTTTGCTCCCCGTGGCTCAGATTTAATTACTTTTCCGAGAAATTATCTCCAGCTTCACAAATGCTCTGCCTCTTCATGACCTGTCCTGTTGGTTTTAGAATTTCAAGAACATATTGTGAGTCTCACTGGAAAGAGCATCAACTGAATGTCTCGCATGTAATGCACAAAGGACAGACGGGTGGAGGAGGAGGAGGGATGGCTGCAAAGAGAAAGGGAGCTGCAGAGTACTCAGCACCTCTGCGGCAGCATTAATATTGCACTATGGCCTTGGAGCCATGAAAAGCTACTTTGGCGAGCTTGCAGACATCAAAGAGGAGATGGAGAGAAAACCTCAGCGTGCTGCATAGACCTGAGTCAGTGCTGTGACTCAGCTGTGAGAATAACATCTTAATAGCTGATTATCCTCAAAATAACAAACACAGTCTTCAACATCAAGGACAAATTTTCAATTTCAACAAATAGACATATTTTCAAATGGGAGCTATTCACAATTTGCCATCTCAATACTACGGAATAAGTCTTCTCCTTTCTGCAGCTGCTTCACAGTAAAAGCCCTCAGTTTATGGGTATTAATCACTTCAGCGATGGCTATATAAGACTTTCTATTTATATTTTTTTATGCAAGGTGTACACAGAAGTAGGTCATAACGTGTCTGTACTTTCTTTAAACTATCAATATACAGGAAATGACTTAATAATGGCAACATTTCCTGTCAATTTATAATTATCTCTGATATGCGAGTTAGCCGTACTGTATATCGTCTACTTTCTATCACACAGGGCTTCCACTGTGGGGTCTTAAACACCCTGTCGCCATTTATTTTGACAGTACCAGCTGGTGGTTGCTTTGTAAATCAGTAAAGGACATCATGTTCCATCGCATCTGACTACTACATTCATCAAAATTCAATACTCAATCTGACTGGCACACCTTTATGGGAGATCCCCCCCCTCATTTTGGACAATGAGAGACAGATGAGCACACGCACACACAAGGGAGAAAGGAAGGTGGCGAGAGCTCATGACAGAGAGACCTTGACCAGAATGTAACCACAGTGCTTGACATTTACATCTGACTGACAGAGATCCTCGTGCAGAATATGAAGATGGTGCTAACTTTTCTGATGAGTCAGGTAGACAGGCATTTGAGTGGATTTCCGAAGCTCAAGGGTTGAGAAATTCAACTCTCAGGTCACTGCAGCCCTTCAAATTAATTTAACATATAAAGAAGCCCTGTTTGGTGTTAAGAGGTTTTCACAAAGCAGTGATGAATGCCTGAACGAGGCTACAACTTCGTTTTGGCTGCTAAGTGACGTTTATTGGGCTCAGAGGACGAGCAGGGCAGGAACAGTCAGGTGTCGAAAACCAAATATCCTCCTCCACATGCTTCCTCCTCCACCCCTCTGTCTCTACCCTCCTCTTCCTCTCTCCCTCACTACTGCATACCTAAACAGCTGCTTATTAACATTTCATAGCGAGGAGGAAGAGAGGGAGGCTGTGAAAATAAACCTTATTTCCAGCATCTGCATACTGAGGAGGTCTGTGAGGCAAACACAAGCTATATTTAACTCAAAGTGTGATGCACCAGAAACCAGTGTGGTAGAAGCCTACTGTGTGACAGAAGAGGAGCAGGTCGACTCAGAAAAACACAATCTGTCTGCCTCGCTGCTCCCACAGTCTGCCTTTGTTTATGCTTTGCTGCTCGCTGTCAGTCAGGTCCGGCTCTTGCCTTCACTGCAGCCGGAGATGAAGAGATGGACAACACAGTCGGGCCGATACATCAATAAAGGATTTGGAAGCTAACTGAATTTTGAGCCTGTGTTACTTGCAAAGCCTTTTGTGAAACCCTTGAAATGGGCTTTTCTTTTGTGGTTTATCTTTATCTGTTCTGCAGCTGATGCAAGAATATGAAAAATATGATTTAGCTGGATTCAGCCATGTTGACCAGTGTGTTGAGAAAAAGGGCTGAATGATGTGTTTACAATCAGTAACTGACATTCCCTGCATAGTATACCTTAAGTCAAACAGCTTACACACCTTTGTTTTAATGGGAATGTAATCAAAAAGTATATTTTTAAACTGATGTGTGCTTGCATTTAATTCTTCTACGCTATGCAGTTCAGATATTCAGCTTTTAAGACTGTGTGTTCTGCTATTAGCTCCTCTGAGAATCTTGACACTGACGGTAGAAATTAGATGACCTCACACGACTTCTAAAAACAGCCCAGGAGTTGCACAGTAGATACTGCTCATTCTATAAAACATGTAATCATGCATTTGAGGCTTAAACAGACAGCAACAATAATTTTCTTATTTTCAAAACAACACCAGTGTGAATTAGATCAGGGAGCTAAAGTGGAAAGAAGCAGTGAGGGACCGGAACAACAAATATCTCTCTGCAGTAATACAGCTCACTTAAGTACAATGTTCCCATATTTACCTATCATCATCATTACATCAGATCCTCCACTGCATTTCAACGGAGATGACTTTTGCCCAGCAGTGGGGTAATAAAACTATTTAAAGAAGTGTGAAAGCTCCTGAGTCTTCACACCGGAGGTTTGTGACATTCTTCATGCAGCAGCAGCAACACTGTTACACCTCTGCCACACACACACACACACTGTTAATGGGGAGAACACAAGCCTAATCTGATGTCGAGTCTGGAAGTCATGTTTTTGTGAAAACAAATTAAAGCTGTGGCACAATCATTCCTCTTGTTTTCAGTCCAATTTGTCTTGGAGTGGAAAAATCGACCCACATTTTTTCAAGCTGGATTGTTTGCTTGGAAAATTGAAACCGCTCAAAACATATCACTATAAAAATATTTTCCTTTGTGTGATGATTAAGTAACATTTGACGTGGCGTGTTTATTTCTTTTATCTGTGCTTGCTAGTTTGAAGTAGCTTTGGTTACTGTAATTCAGATCTGTTTAAACTAAACTCACACTGTCCTGATGAAGCAGGTAAGAGGGTTTGAGGGTTAAAAGGAGCTGCATGCCACATTCAGGGTCTGAGCTGGGATTGTCTGTACATGGCTCTCATTATGGAGGTGGCTGGGTCGGCCACTAGCAGCTAATGGTGATGCTGATGGTGTTAGCCTGGAGGAACTCGACACTGGGCATTAATGAGTGATGACACAGTTCTGCCAGTGGGATACACACTAGGGATGTTCTTGGCGACTAATCTCCCTGTTGACTAAATGAAAATTTTAAGTCGACTAGTCTAAAAAAGGGAAAACACTCAGAAAACAGTTAGAATTTAGCACAATTTATTGTTTAGTATTTGAAATATTGTCCCAAAAATACTGTGTGCATGAAGAGCCCTTTGAAGCCTTTAATCACAGTCTTCAGCAACCATGTCGGATTTTAAATGCTGAAGTTCGAGACACTTTGCGCCGCGTGGTATGAATGTGAACATGACGGCAACTCAGTCAAACATTAGCCACTAAAATACTATCTACAATAAATAAATTGCCTCTGAAATGTGGGGCACATTGAACCTTGCAGATTATCCGACAAAAATTATAACAATTCACTTTAAAGTTAATAAAACAACATCTAAATTCTAATCTAATTCAGCTTAAATGAGAGGCATTTTGCTCCGTGCAGTATGAATGTAAACCCTGCACATTATCTGACAACAGCTCACTTAAAGTTAACAAATAATATAACATCTCAGAAAAGATTAATTGCTGCTGAATTTATTTTCTAGGTCAAAGTTGTGCCAAACCATGCTGGTTTTGTGCGATGACATCTGATGACAATTTCCCACCATGCCGTTTTAAAACTCCAGTCTACTCAAGCATTACTGCGGGGAAAGGGACTGCTGTCTGACGGCTCTGTAGCACCCACTGGTAGCAGGCGGCTACATGACAGTTAAGCGGACTTGTACATGAATAAAACAGTAACTGGTTTAACGGACTAATATTTCTGGTGCCGACTAGCGAGGGAGCAGACGTTTAATCGGTTACATGTCTAATCACGCAGAATTTAAAAAGTATTCATACTGGTTTATGGAAATAGTGGGTCAAAACATCGTGACACCTGTAGGAGACTGAACAAGAGCAAAAATGCAACTTCACAACTTCTCATTTTTGTGCAAAATCTGCATGACCTCACAACATCCAAAAAATTTGAACATTAAAGACGGTCAAATATGAATAATGTAACATGGCAGTTTGACAACAAGCCCTCATGCACCACTGCAGCCTCAATATATAAAATTAAATTAAAACCAAATCATCTAGATGTGATTGTAATTTCTTGTGCCTGTGAACAAAGAGCCAAAACCTTCCATCTGTTCAGTCACACTGAGCTGCTCTTCTTTATTGCTGTTGGGCCTGAACCACCAGCCCTCCAGTGACCAGCACCATGTGATGGACATCTTATCAGATGTGCTGCCAGTTCAAACAGCAAGACAGGGACAGAACCAGCCACGTTACATCAGTAGCTTCATGCATGTTGTTTGCTTTGGATGCCGAGAAGTGCAGTTAGATTTTCAGAGGATATTATTAGCAACAGGCATAAAGTCAGCGGGGCTTTTTTTTGGATTCCGAGACAAATCCTTGTCACTGGCAGACTGGTGGTATCACAGCAGGGAGGCAAAGTCGTTTTAAAAATAGCCCCAAATTCCACCAAAAATCTGATTATACACCAAACTTTTGGCTTCAATTCTGCATCATGGCTCCAGTGAGATTAACCAAATCCCTTCATGACCCTGTCTGACTCACACTGACAGTAATGCAGCTGTCATAATGTACTACAGGAAGTTAATGTGTGGGGGGTTAAATGGATAACATAATCTGTCCCATATGGTGAATGCTTTCATCCAAAGATCTCCTCCATCACCAATTTAAATTGAATTTAAACCCCTGCACCATGGTTACGACTATTTCCTTGCATACTGATATTTACAGCATGATGTCAGATCTCCTGCTCTGTTCAAATCCAGGTTTAGTGTTAGTAGTTGATAAAGTCTTACCACTTCAGGTAGCAGCTTGGTGGCGAGGTCGTGGATGGCCTTACCCAGAATGCACAAGGAGGACAGGATGAAAATCACACCCAGGATAACACAAGCTCTGTGGAGGATAAGAGAAGTAAACTGTGGTGATGAGCACATTACTGACAACATAAACACAAATTAAAGTACCGGCTCCAAGTTGGACTGTGTGAGCCAGTCGAAAGTGTTGACTCTCATCAGCCGAGGTGGCTGTCAATAGTTATCTATCAACGTAAATGTATTGACAGCAGTGTTGCTTCAAGCCGGCAGTAACCGCCTGCTCTGTTTAACACCGTTTAGTGTCACCAGGGACAAAGTGAGAACACTTTAAGCATGATTTACTGTCAAGCATTTGACATTTTTTCAGAGTTTCACTCTGACAGCTGTTTATTTTGTATGAGTTCATTAAAGAGGAAGATATTTTCAACTTCTAAGAAGACAACAGGAGCACAAGAAGGCAGCCACAAACAAACGCAGGACATGGATGAGGAGACGCACATTCTGTATTTTGTGTCAACCATTTTGATTATCTAGCAAAAAAGCACCCAGTTGTTCAAAAGATTTAATCTGGATCAGAATGATGTGGATTTAGAAATCCCATGTATTTGCTGTCCAGGATCGGCTAATCCATTTTACTTATGTGTCTGCTTTTCAAAGCAACATTGGATGGGATCATTCTGATCCAGATACAAACATTTCAAGGTTACCAAATCTGGATAACCTGTGCTCTAAATGGAATTACACATCATAATGTATGCAGTCTTCCAACAAACACACTGAAATGACCACTTATCACCACAGGTGCTGACAAAGAAAACAGAGATCTTCAAGATTATAACTTAAAATATTTTTTGTTTGATTTGGACAGATATTTGGGGATTATTTTCCTTTACTGTAATGAAAGTTTTAATGGGTTGCCTAATGCCTCCTTTATCTACTTTATCACAGTAACCGTTAAATAAATCAAATGCAAAATATAAATAGACGTTTAATATATTATTAAGTAAATAAATTTTTATGAGTTGACCATGATTTAATCCAATTTCAGAATCGTCTTTTTCTTCTGAAGTACCCATTTTCAACATTTGATCCGATCCCATAGCCGAAATACTATCAGATAACTTTTGAACAGATGTGTCAGAAGCCGTTTCCACCAAGCACTTTCGGTATGGTACCTTTGGAACCAAATTAACCCTTCAGACATGGTACCTAGACCCTAGTGTTTCCACTACAAACAGTGCTCTTCAAATGTGGGCGGGGTTGTTGTCACTCACTGCTCTGTCCAGCACTCACTGTATTTCCTCATTATCGGTGACACAGATAGAAGTCTGCACCTCGTTTATCGTCCACAGAATGAGGCTGCAAACCGACATTTTCAGAACAAAATAAAAACAGGCTGCAGTGAGAGTCTCTCTCCATGGGATATTTAAAAACAGCAGGTTTGTGCATTTAGTCCTTCTCAGGCAAGCTCAGGGGTTTACTGTTGCTGTCGCCCACAGGAACGATGCTCCACAACGCATTTTTTTTTTCTCCAAGTGAGGATTAGAAAATATTCTATCACATAACCCAATCAGCCCAGTGAATTAAATTATTTTTTACTCCGACTCCAGCTGCTGCAAGAGGCAGCAAAACATCCTTTCATTTCATAGTTATAGTCTACTCATAAAACTCTCCACAGTATGAACAGTGGTTACATGAGCCTCAAAACCAGCCACAACTCAGCCCTGAGCAGAGTGACCATCCTCTACTGACCAATCAACAGACTGCAGTGTTCACAGCTCCACCTTTTAGTACCTGATCTTTGTGCTAGGTATCCCAACAGAGGGGGACCAAAAATGGAACGATACGGAACATCCACAACTTTTTACAGTGGAAACAGAAAAAAGCGTACTGAACTGGACTGGACCGTATCGTACTGCTCAGTGGAAATGTCCTAACAAAATTCTCCAGGTCCACGACATGAAATGAAAGTGTCGAGCAACACTTTTCTGTAGGAAATACATAACTTCTACAGAGCAACACTCATCAAAAGTCTTAAGCATCCTACCATAAATCAAGCTTTAGGAAAATAGCTAAGACTACATTTAATCCTGAATGACAGTTACTTGTATTACACTTACATACGGAACGAAGACGCTCCATTAAGACTTATTTGGAAGCAGCAGATGTCCTTTAAAAACCTTTACCCAATTAACAAAGTCTCGAGGGAGACAAAAATCAACTGGAGCATATGCCCTCGTCATGCATGGCTACCAGTGTGTGTTCAATTCAGATGGCTGCTCTCGAGCCACACTTAGTGTACTGGGTTTTTGACCGGATGAGGTAACCAAGGCAACACCCAACATCCCTCCAGGAAGTCCACAGCAGGGCACGCACAGGCACACACACACACACACACACACACACACACACACACACGCACACATACACACACCATGGGAGCTCTCAATCCCGACTAACAGGCCCCCTGTGGGGTGCAGTGGATGTAAAAATGACACCATGTCTCTGAGCTGCTGTTGGCTCCCCGACAAAAACAACAAAACAACAAATGACGGTTTCCAGCGAAACACAACTTCTGTTCCAAAACATCCGTCACATCACAGGTGGATAACGTTCCTTCTTAATATCAATACAGCCTCTACAACAACAATTCATCCTCACATTTGCTGCAGTGATGTGAATTAAGGTGTTTTTGTTTCGAAAGGCTCCACGTTTCATTGGGGAACAAAACTCCCTAATTCGTCTTGTTTTGACATCTTGAGCTTGTTGTCCTGGCAACTGGTCTGTACCTGTGCATCATTATTCAGCCACATCTCCTCTATCAAAGTTAGACATAAAAAAATTAAAAATTGATTGATTCTCTAGATGCGCGTCAGCATTTTTTTTAACTGGCTGTCTAACAAAAAACAAAACAGCTGGAAGAAAAAAAACAGAAACACGGTGCCCCAGTGTGTGTGTGTGTGTGTGTGTGTGTGTGTGTGTTAGTTCATGCATGCATTTTACATATAGTAAATATATAGTATAGCAGTTGCTGGCAGGCAATTCTCACTTTCCTGTGTGATCCAGAACATTTGTGCATTAATATATCTGTGTGTGTGTGTGTGTGTGTGTGTGTGTGTGTGGTACAGGAGGAAGCCTGGCCTCTTGGTGAAGCCAATTACTGGCTGAGCAGCTTCCTGAACTTTATCTGAATTCTCCAATTAGCCGCTAAAGTGACATAATGAAGGCTGCTGTCAAAAACTGACTTTGTGTGAATGTTTTAATGTGAAGATTTGACACACTCATAAAAAAAAATTACAGCTGATGCAGCCTTTGATTTAAGACACCTACTTTTATATATTTTAATGACATTTCTGGTTTTAGTTGTTGAATTAGGCACAATAATTTACTTTGTTTAGACTTTTTCATAACTGAAATAGCATGTTTTGTTTGGTTTACAGTGTTTTTATGCTGTCATTGGCTATGAAGACTGAGATTTGAATTTCAGCAGTAATGAATTAATTAAGACTTTCAGTTAAAAATAAAATAATGCTTCCTTAAATGCTGACACCACTAATTACTAAACAGCTTCATGTTTTAAAATAATGTTAAACAATACTATTTGTTTGGATGAAACAGTCTCTCTTACAAATTAAATTTGAATTTATCAACAATACACTCTCTCTCAGTTCAGTGTACTTTTATGACCTGTAGCTTATGGTGGTTAATGTTAGCAACTTAGCAGCAGTTTGTGACTTGATCACCCTCCTCTTCTTGTTCTAATGTTACAATAGCTTTATAGATTCACAATAAAATGAACAGTTCACCATTTTGGGGACTACTGTTAATACAGAATTAACTATTTTGTTGCAAGTTTGATGCGAACTTCAACACCACTCTCATATCTGTCTGTGACCATTTAGCTGGTGCCAGAAGATGTTTAGCTAGCTTGGCATTAAGAGTTGAAACGGGGACCAAGCTAGCAACAACCAACACCACCAAAACTCACTAATTATCCCATCAGTCAATAATGTGAACTTATTATATTGCTTTGTGTTTTTCTACTGATGTTTCCTGTTTGCATTATCCCTCTGCTGCTGTAACGTTGCGAATTTCCCTGCAGTGGGATGAATAAAGGATGATCTTATCTTAATCGAAGGCCTATCCTGTTTGATTAATTGGTACACATATGGAAACGTAAAAGCAACTGTTTTGCTCTAATGTCCTTTGAAATTATCAAAATTACATTTGGAGATTTCTTTGCTTATCTTCAGGCTCACCACTTTATTAATACAGATACTTATCAACCTCAGGACCAATCTCAGCACTGCTATTGTGAGTGATCAGTACTACTCAAGACTACAAATGGAAATCAGAACGCTCCAGATACTAAAATCATTACCCCAAATCAATTGGGGAATCTATTATGTTCTACAGAATAAAAAGGTTTTATTTTAGATTTTAATGACAACTTCCTGAGCTATAATGAGCAACATATAAATAAAGTGGTTGACAGAAAGGATCTTCAAACTGTTCATAAAAAGGATAGCTTGGAAGAATGTCTCTGAGCCTCTCATTCCTTTTTTCTACATTTAGGGAAATGCAACATCAGACACAACACACATCACAGGACACCTTTAAACTTTAAACAAATCTGGCTCCAGCAGATCCCTTCTGTGCACGTAATGAAAAGTGTCAGCTGGAAGTTATATTTATTGGATCTGGGATTCTTCTAAAATCATTAAGTTCTGGTCATGTTGAGCAAATGAGTTAAGAACAATTCTTAAATGTAATGGGCTCTAGTTTCACAGATCGGGCGCAGCGGGGGTGCAGCGCACCTGCGCTTCACCAACTGGGTGTGACCAGGCGGAGTTTGTAAGTTGCACTGTGTGCCTGGCGCAGCTACTCCTCTTTCCCACCTCCATCCCTCCTACCGGCGCAAGTCGGAAAGAGGGAGGAGAGAAGGCGTGGAGTCGGTTTTACACACATCACACCAATCAAATGAGCCCCTCTCCTCGCCCTTAAATGCGCCGCGCGAAGGTGTAATGAGAGTTTACTCAATTCGCCACTGCAGAAGAGAGCAGCAGCGTCAGACGGCCAAACTCCTCCCAGGAGGAAACTGATGTTTTGGTCCGGGAGGTCCAAGCTCGCAGTGTCTGAATATACGGAACTGCGAGCAGACCTCCACGGGCTGATGATGCAAAGGTAGCCTGGGAGGAGGTCACCACAAATGTAAATCAATGTTGCGTTTCTCTCGTGCGCGCGCTCTCTCTTTCTCTCTCGCAGTCTCACTCTGTTTCTTTTCTTTTGACTTTTCTAAGATGACAGATGCTGAATATATACTCCCTATCTGATGCTGTGGCTGTTTGTGGTTGGCTGAGAGGGATGTGAACTCATTAGTTTGCAGCTGTGTTAATCAAATCAGGTTGGGTTTCCATTACTCCTGCCAAATGTGCCAAACGGTGCCAATCCCCTTTGATCTGACATCAGATGTGACGGGACAGTCGATATAGAAATAGATTTATGTGCTGATTGCAGATAGTTGCATTGAATAGTGTTTTTTTTGGGTATTTATTGCATTGTTAATGTGCCTGACATTCTGGAAACCTGCCTGTGAGGTTTTGGTGACGTGTGCGCGCTGTCCGCCGGTCAGCCAAACTTCGGCTTACACCGGCTGCGCTCCGCCTGCGCTGACAGTAGACCTGGTTTCAGATGGCGAGCTTTTAGCGCACCTTCGGCGAAGCCTTTTGGCACGAAACTGTCACTGCACCAAGCTGGATCTGTCGATACCTCCCCCTGCTGCGCCGCCACACCCATCTCAGCGCACCTCGGTCTGCCAAACTACCAAACTGAGCGCGCCTCAGGGTGCGCTGCTTGAAACTAGCTCTGCGCAGGGTTCGCCACCCTGCGCCACCTGCGCTGCGCCGGGAAACTAGAGCCCAGTATCTGTAAAGATCCTGGACAGATTTTATTGGGACTGCCATATAAAGCAGCAGTCTTAGACTCTTAAGAAAATGATAGTATTTGATTGGATCCAAGAAAACCCTCCATCAGTAGCACAATGGGATACAGAAATCTTCAGAGAACTTCCCACAGAAAGGCTCAGTGCCAAAAAAAAAGGGAAATAAGGGCAGCTTCATAAAGGTATGGCAGCACCTGATAAATCACCTCACGATCTAGGTAACTTAATTCAAAAAGGAAGTGGAACAATGGATGGAAAATCTCCAGAGGCCCTTCAACGATTCACTTTTGGAGTGATTTGCATGTAGACAATAGACTTTTCCTTTCTACCTGATTTGTTTATTTTTTAATTATTACTATTTTACTAATTTACTTCAGTAATATTTATCTGTTTATAACTTTATCATGCTTATAATGTTTATTTTTAAGACAACACACTCACAAAAAAACATATGTGGTATTTGTGTGAATATTTTTAAATTGGGAAAATTCCATTTTTTTATTTTTAGCACGTCAGACATTGAATCAGCAGTTGAATTAATGTCTTTTTCTGTCTGTGTTACTATCTTATCTTTAGAGGACATGATCTCATCTTTCTTCTCCGCAGCAATTAGCAGTCACTCCTTTGTGTGTACTTGTGTGTGTGTTGGGCCTGACAGATTCACTGTATGAATCGACCAGATGCTCTGAGAATAAGAACAGAGATTCATTCAGTAACAGATGCTTTTGTTTTGGTTGGATATCTTGTTTTTTCAAAGATCAACTGGTTAATGGTGTCTTGGTAAATTCAGCTCATTTGCTGTGTATCTGCTCGGGTAGTGTTTAGACTCATCTTAATAGAACAGAACACTTTTCTCTTTTCTCTCGCTTTCAGTCACCTGCTTGCTGCCAGCACCCTGACCATTCAACAGTCTCTGAAAGGCCCACCTGACCTTCACACACACACACACACACACACACACCATTCTCAGCCAGGTACAGATAAGACGTGAGACACCCGTCTGTGATCGGTCCCAGTGGGCCAAGGCTGACAGAGCTGAAGAGATCCTTTATTTGACACACTCCTCTACAGGACAAAGCAGACCACACACACACACATACACACACACACACACACTCTAGACACTCTGGACACATTGAATGGATCTCATCACTTTTCTGGGGTTGTCTGGTCGTCATCGATAGAATTAAACAATCTGGGCAAGAGGAAACAAAGGCTCAAACAACTACAGGGTCTCCAATTAGTCTTGTAATTTGACTTTAAGACAAAAATTAAATAAAAATATACAGAAGCAAGTTCAAGCAAGGTCAGTTTCTACAGGTAAATACTCATTTTAACACAATTAAACACAAATGATTTTTTCCATCTAACACTGTAGGTGTTCAGAATGTTCATGCTACACTGGTGCAAGCCATCATATCATTACCTATATAGCACATAATTTCAGTGATTTTAAAGCCTGAAATTTAAATAATCTAAAAAAAATTCAGACATTTTAACTACGCGCAGATACTCAAAACTTGGTCTTTATAGGTATGCTATGAAGGGTTGTCAGTTTGTTTGTAAACACGCTTGCCGGTGAAAGTATTCTGGCATTTCACCTTGCTATATTTGTTGTTTCTGCGCTGTGTCTCTTGGATGCCTACAGCTTACAGTCTGGCACTTGGTTGCCACCTTTTTATAAAGCCCTGACCTCACCTGAACGCTGAGGGGGTACATTGGTCATAAATGTACCGAAAACAGAAAATAAGAAGAATATGAGAAAATACAGGCAGAGGGCAGAGTCTCTGCAGAAGAACACACTGCCACACACTTCGAGTCACGTGTGTGTAATAAGTGATGATTGAGTGAGATTTCATCTTCATGAGCCTATACATTGCTTTTAGGGAAATTCCTCAAAGTGTATCATTAAACCAGGTCATATATGATCTGGCTAAGCAGTAACTGTACTTACATGTATTCGCGATGTGCTGAGTGGACGGCTGCAGCGTTGCTGTACCGCCAAAGTACAATAACAGAGGACAACACATCCAGCGTGGCGTCAAACTGCAGAGTGAAAGCAAAGAACATTTTACATTCTCTCCACTACAACATACAGCTTTAGCCATCATAGCTTTAGTGAAGGGAGGCTTTACGATCGACTTACAGCAAATCCAAAAGCTGAAGCACTGTGGCGCATGATGGAAACAGCTGGAAAGAAAACAGAGAGAGGGACAATGAACAACAAATAACACTGATACAATGTGCTTGTTGCATAGTTTGTGTTCATTGATAGTCATTCAAAACATATTCTTACTAGAAAAATTCATTTAATGGGGAAAATACACACATCTTCCATCCATCAAATCACCACTTCTTCCTTTACACAGTCATTGATTATTCCGAATATTGTGTTTAATAAATCTTTTGTCCAAGTTTCCTCCTTTAATGCTGCTGGCTTTACTATTGAACTCATTCTTTATCTCTTTATGTTACTGTAGCCTGCTGACAGGAGACATGTTATATCCTTATATGCATAAAAACACAAGACGAAAGTATTTTTTTGGAGCAATACTGACAGCAGAAAATGTGTTTTCCTGTCACTGTGTACATGAACAAATAATTGGGTGACTGCTGAGACAGCCCTTGTTCACTGCAGTTTAGGACATTATTAAACTGCAGACGGATCATTATCAAATTAGTCCAGAGGTGCATTTTTGCGAGGACTTGTGTTTCTAGTTTTTATTAATTTGTGCAGCAAACCTGCCAGACAGGCCGGATAAGATGCTTTCTGTTGGCTGAAGTGATTTAGTTATCAGCATATTACGTGCCTGTTTTGGCCCAATTATAATGAGCTGAAGCTGTGTTGAAAACAAACACTGAGACTGAACCGCTGTGTGTGATCATCTGCACACACACACACCTGCAATGGCAGGGAAAGAGAAGAGGAGGAAGGAGAGAGAAAAGGGAGAAAGATGCAGATAGATAGAGGGGAGGAATCCTCTCCTCTCCACCCAGGTTTATTTTTAGCGACACTCACTGGGGGCCAGAAACTCGCCTCAGCACTGCATACAGAAACACAGCATTGTGTGGTATGTCTTTCTCTGTGCTTCCCCTTTAGCCACTCATTTTCCTTCTGTTGCAATGATAGCGAAATCATGTTTTCTTCCATCTCCTTTCCCCCCTTTCCCCTTTTTCTGTCCCCCTCCAGTCACTGAAGATCCCCCTTTTTCTTCATCATCCTTCATCCTTTTCTTGTTTCATCTACATTCAGTTGCTCTCTCTGGGCTGAAGGTGCAATCTTCTTCTTCCCCAGACCAAAATGAAAGCAGAAATGAATGCTGCCTTCACTTGCGTTTGCAAAAACATGAACAACCCTTGAATACAAATGAGTAGGTGGGACTTTTTATGACACCAGATATCTGCAGAGATGCAGCACGGAAGCAGTGACAACAAGTGATTGTTAAAAATGATCTATACGACAACTTCTGGTCCATTTAGCAAAAAGCCACATACACAGTCTGACAATACGTCACTCTAGCCTTGACATGCGAAGTAGCTCTTTGCTGTTGACTTGAAAATGAGATAAAACCAGAATAAAACAGTTTTATGACATAGAATAGATTATTTCTAACCAAAAGAATCAGAACACATCGTATTCATTCATATTCATATTAATGAGGAAAAAAGCTTTGAAACAGAAGTTTTAAGGGCAACAGTTGGTGCCATCTTGTAGTTGAATGCTGCACTTCCTCATCCCTCAAATTATCTAGCTCAACTTTAATTTTACTTCTAAAGGTCAGTGCACAAATTAAACACTACTTAAACTCTTCCAGGTTCCATTTACACAAAGGCTAGACTGGCGGGAACACAATGCAGCCATGCACACACAGTTACTAATGACTTTTCGATACAGTCACAAGCCACACAACACATTTTTAAATGCGTCATAAAACACAAAATAACACTTCAGGCCCTTAACATCAATACCTGCATCAGCTGTAGACAGTAGGCCCAGTATATAACATCTACTTACACAAGAAAACCATCACTGTCAATGGAGTGGCACCACTGACGAGAGAACACACTGTGCTGAACTCAAGACTAGGTCAAACTTCTCTAACAGTCAACATGGCACACACATCAATGATTGACACAACACACACTGTCCAAACAATACTACTCATGTCCTTAATTGACAGTTAATAGTCAGTATAACGACATGTGTACTCGCCAGCCACAGAAGAACACTCATTTGTAACAGCTTAAATAGCATCTTCATATCACCTCAATGACACAAGTGCAGTTTCAAAACGGCGCCTGGCTAGGTGAAGCTCATCAACGTATATCGTCACTTACTTCATAAAGTCAGGCATTTTTGGCGTAACAGTCGACTTACACCTTCGTTACTTTTAACGAAGCAATAATTCGGTCTATAACATCTCACAAAGTCACCGCACAAACATAATACTATTTATTTTACTCTTGGCTAGCGCAGTTTAGCTAACTGTTAGCGAGCTCACCCAACCGTCACCGGTGCAACCAAACTTGTCTCTCTGACGCACGCGCTCCCAGCAGCCAATCAAAAGAGGAGTTCAACTGGCGGCGCTTTTGCTTTTGCACATAGTTACTAAAGTTATTTATATTTAATTATAAATTCATCTTATTGGATTCACGTTCATACAAACATTTGATTTAAAAAAAATAATTCGATAAAAATAGAGGAAATGTTTAGGGGCGCTTAGCGGATGCTCAAGCCTTTTCGGGGGAGCTCGAGCGCCCCCTGCTGCTGCTTTTGTGTTATGAAGACATTTCTCTGAGATATATATACATACATACATATA